AAATTGGTACGGGTCATCTATTTTAAAACAAAAGAGGTTTTAAGAAGATATTAGTAGATAGATGACTTTTCTTAGTGCTATACTAGGAACAAACGCCAAGTACATCAAGCTACGATTGTTTTTCTTCAGTCAATTTTCAACTTTATCACAAAAGCTTAGAGTGACAAATTCAGTAAAGAAATTGATAAGTACATGCCGTTTAATGTGCTGTGGTAGGTATTTTTACTTCACAGGAAACATTTTCCTAGCTTTTTAGGATATTTAATTTATCTTATCATACCAGTACAAACTCCTTTGACCACGTCTTGTTCCTCCACGAATTTGTCCCATATTTTCTGTTCGCGCTGTTTCATTCGCTCCCTCCGGTTGCTCCGCCACGCCCTCTCTAACTCGCCGCCTTCTATGAACTACAAGTTCAAGTTATAGTCAATAGATGGCGATCAACTCAAGTTTCTATTAGATAAAATAAAAATAGTAACGAAAGTCAAGAAATTAGAACTGTTTTACTACCATGCTACATCTAAACGTATTCAATATTTAAACTGTCAAACACCAAGCGGACACCGGTGACCACAACCTATTGTTCTATAATTGTGTCTACAAAACCGGTACTCGACGAGTTAAAATTGAAAATTATTTGATTTATTTTACTGAATATCACTCACAACATTGTAATGAGTGTTACCCTTCAATCACAGATGGCGCTGAGCTAAACAATAATACAACGTGAAAACGTTAAAATGCTCAAACAGCTGATTAGGTGAAAAAAGTGAAACTGTCTCCACGAACGTTAATATAATTTACATAAAAAATGAGTACAAACCTGCAAGTCCACCATATCAACTTTGTTTTCGGCCATAAAAGAAAATCCTCTCACACACGTCTCCATTTCAATTCCCTTTGTATAAGATTCACAATAAATAAGAGTATAAGCACCAAAATACGATATAATTGCCGGAAAATTCCTAAATATTTATACACTATTATTATTCGCCATTATTAACGTGTAAACATTTGAATTTGACAAATCAAAGCAACTGAGAAAAATGTCATGTCAACCCTCTTTAATCATTTTAGGTACTCTTTGCTACAAACTCACTTCACGGGTCAATGCACTATAGTAATACAAAAGTCAACTAATAATTGATTGTTTTACGAAAGCACTTTAAAAATTATATCACAAACAAATAGTCCTCACCAATAACGTGGAACTTAAGTAATTATTCCAATAACTCCGTCAAAGTTATTTTAATTAAAGAATTAATTAAAACATTTCCAGAACCTCGTTATTTTGATTGCGTGATTACTTTGCGCGCCATGATGTGGTGTGCGTTGCTAGGCAACGGTTTGTTTGTTTTACTAACCCGAAAAAAACGTAGGTACGATAAAATATGTCGTGTAAACTCACATTACAATTCATTATTATTTCGTTATGAAAAGTATGCAATGTATAATTTGTTGTTGGAATAATATAAAAAGTGAAATATTAAATAGAACTCATTTTTAATGTTTGTATGGAACAGTCGTGTAGCGTGTTTTAGGTTATGTGCCTCTGACAGGTGTGAACTTTGATTGTTTTGTGATCCAAGTGATTAGTTTTGTGAGTGGGTGGGTGAGCAGTGGTGTCCGACAGTATGTTATTTAGCACGCGACCATCGCCGAGCATGGGGGCGCCTCCATTACCGGCTCCTCAGCCCGAGGCCCGGCACTTCCCGCAGTGGAGCAGGACGGCCATCCTCACACTAGCCAGTGTTGATCCTGAAGATGATGTTGTTGCTGAGGTGGGTTTAATTATAGAAATGAAGTATTTAATAAGTTTTTATAATTAGACGCCTACGTAAAAAGCAGAACCTTTGAGCAAGTTTGTGAACAGTCTTTTTTCCCGAGGGAGACTTATTTAGAAAGAAAAGTTATTATTTTTCCTTTTTTATTGTACCAAGGAGATTTCTAAACAGATGTGATGAAACCTGAAATTTGTAGAGGTACTGCTTAAGGAATACTGCTTATGAGAGTCGTGACTCTCACCTACTTAATCCCAAAAGAATTTGCAGCAGCATCGGATTCCATGACGTATCACTCTGATGCTGTCTAATCTTATTTTCTCATCTTTTAGAAATTGTGACCTTAGTACTCGGTACCTAACCGAGGTCATAATAACTACCTACTTTATAGGTACTTATTTACTAAATTACTACCTACTTGAACTTTTATTGCCCGTAAAGTGAATTGGAAATAAGGTACCTATATATATTAATGGTTGATTTTAAAGGCTGTGAATAATCAATGGCTCCAATTTACCACGCTATCCGTTTGACCATCAAATGCCACATGCCATTAACGGGGATAGCTCATGTCGTAAATTCTTAGTAATATCGTTTCGAAGGTGAAATTACCCAGGCATGTGAAAAGGTCAGTGCAATTGATAGGTACTTGGTTTCTTCGTTCGTAGACTGAAGAACTCTGTTCTATACTTCGACTCCTGCTTTAAATATAGGATTCAATATTTTTGCATGGACTTGTTTTGACCTCTCGTTCTTTTCAAGTCTCTATAGTATCATTTCATCTTTTCGTCGGTATCTGTTCTATCATCATCATCACCATTGTCATCATCAGCTCGATCTGTTGAACATAGGTTTCTCCAATAGCATGCCGCTGAGCTCTATATTTAATTCATTCCAAATCTTCTCTGCTAACTGGACTAAATTTACGACTCAAACTCATAATCTCTCCAGTCTCTGTCAGTATCAGTCTTTTAACAGACACGTGTACGACTAGACGGACGAGGTAGACATTTTAATTTTGGATATTCCCTAAATTGGATAACTTTGATCTTGAATCCAAAAATAGCAATGATGGGGTTTAAAGATCGGCCCGTTGAGCAATTACTTTCAGGTCGGTTAACGAAAATATTTATACCTACCTGCCTAAATAAGGAGGTTGCTGTCACAATATAATTTTTAGTGCCGAGAGACACATTTCCAGATTTTCTTGGTGGTAAATGTGAAACCAAGGAATATCAGATTTATTTCTTTGTAAGGCAGTTATAGTCTGTATCCCTGTGACACGAAGGGCTTCATCGGATTGATGTTTGAGTGGCTGCTCTTTACCATAGATCCCGTCTAATGGAAATTACAGTAGTAGGAAACTATTAGAAGGTTTCTTCTCGGTACAAATTTTGGGTCCACCTTCTTTCATACAAGTCTGTTTTTGACAATAATGAACGGTGCTGTCATTCGGGTGTTATACGTACACTTATATTTCTAGGAGCTTTTAGCGGATGCGTTGAAAGGGACTGTAATGAATATAATCTCATGATTTCTAAAAGCGAAGGTGTGGAAAGAGATGCTACACACTTCACATTTCCACCGATACAGTATCTTTGACCTTCCTAAGCATATAAAGTTCATGACGACTTTAAAATTCAACACTACAAATTCAATTATAAAAACCTACTTACCTAACTAAATAACTGCAACATTGTAGGTATCGATATAATTGAGTATTAAAAATAGAGCGATAGACAGTAACTTTAGAATTCATGGAATGGCTTGCATGTCTGCCGTAATATTGCAGGTCCATTATATTAATAACATGAAGCTCGCCGAGTCTGCTACCTAATACAGTTGTTTTGAACACTATGAAGGTTTATCGTGATGGACTGACCTGATTGTAGATAGCACTATGGAAATGCATAGTTCAATTGTTGTTAGTTTACAATTTATTCATCGTCATCATCATTAGGCGAAGACGTCCACAGCTGGACAAAAGCCTCCCCTTTAAGTCCTCCACGCCGATGATGCCGAATGACATCATGCCACTAGTAAAATATTTCAGCGAAGAGAATCGATAGAAATACCTAGAGATTATACCAACGCATAACATCGCTTTTTTAATTAGTTACTTACTGAGGATTTTCCAAAACGACACATGGTAAAAGTAGGCGTGGGTTTTCTACATTTCCAGGCGTGAATTGTAAGGCAGTCAGCCATGCGTGATGTTATTATCTGATTTGCACAATGATTTTTTCTATGAAGTTGATGTTTGATAAAATAACAATTTCATTAGAAAATTTCATCTTCAGATAGGCCAATAGCTATTTCGGTCTTAATAACATAATAATTGCTTACTGCCAGCCAGTAAAAATACACGGTCAAGGAATTTTCCTTTTTAAACAAAGAAACGTGATATTTGCAAGGATTTCCTCATACAAGTGGACAGACAGGACAATAAAATAAAAAGGACACGACTAGACTAATGGTTTACCTACTTAAGTAACTTCGTCATTAAGAGATACCTAAGGAAACCAAGTTTTAATGGAAAAAAATAGTAATTAAAGTGGTCCCGAAAACACAAGTCTCTATTTTGTTGGCGAATGGGCTGTCTTAGCTATGTTCCTTTGTTGTTTGCAAAGGTTATTGAACTGTTCCCTGCCCTTTTCTCAAGTTTCTAGAGGTCGATGCTACAAGTTTTCCTTTTCCTTTCTCCCCCATCAAACATCTTATTGCCAGACTCCCGTTTTGGCAAATCCTCCATCCATCATTCCTTTTACCTCCTTAAAAAAGGTCTGGCATAAAATGGTCTGTTTTCTGTTTATCCAGTCTCAATATTGTAATCATAGTCTCACACTGTATATTTAAGGATTAAGATAAACGCACAAATAAATATGAACGGAGAAACACAAAGAGAAATCCTTACCAATACGTTGTTTTCTTTTTAGGATTCAGCCATTGTTATTCCGTTTCGGGCATACATGAATGAATATGTAGTAGGGCTAGGCAGTATGTGTGAAATAAATATTATTATTTGTCTATATGGCTTTAGTATCAATTTGGGCTTGTTTACTCAAGTGTTGGTTCTTTCGTCTGTCTGTATATCCTAATGTAATATGTATTTAATATATTATGACATGGATATTGTGCCAACTGGTTAATGTTCCATGCATGCTCGAAAGTTTGTACTTTCTCCAGTCGTTAAATATTTTAATTGCAATGAAACTGTTTGTTCAGTTGCTATCAGAGTACTCTAATGCGGGCATTTTGTTCTATAAACTGCCTAATTTATTATGTAGAGTTTCCTAAGTTTTAATTTTATTGACTTTGATATCTCTGAACTAGGTTTTTGGTACCTTAACAGCTAAGAATTAGACTACGTAATTTCCTTGGGGTAGGTAATGGTAGTGCGTGACGTGGTTCATACTAAGTAAAAGTGAGAACTAGTCCATTACTTTATTCATGAGCTAAAATAAATTCAAAGTTCGTTAGTCATAGCGTTTATAGAGTTACACAACTTAGTTGCGGATCATGCGAGCTCCTATAAATTCGTACGGTTAAGGTCGCCGTAAAAGTGCGTTACGTATTCCCGATCCGTATGGTGAAATGAAGCTATTAGCAGAGAGCTGTGTGACACGCCATAAAGCCATCAGAGGAGTTGGCAGCGCGCCACAGGCGAATAGTGACAGAAACGAAGCCCGTGAGTCAGCGGTACGCGGAACCTGTGTGCGGCGGCGCGATCGATAGACACTGCACCCCGCGCGCCGCCCCCGCCTGCACCTGCCGCCACCACACAGCCCGGCTCCTCGCCGCCGCCGACACACACCACAAAAACACAAGAAAATTCCTAATAATCAACGGAAACATTAAACAGTGCTTTGATCCAAGTCAATTTTAGTATTTACCTATAACCAGTTCAGTGGTTCAAGGTCGGGACGGTCGACGACCCCGCTTAAGTATAGGAGAAACGTCTACCTCAGTATCGGCTGAAACGCCGCTGTTTATTATTTGTGTTCATCTGTGAAATTTTATTTTTAATTATTACGTGTAGTGGGCAAGGTCGTGGTGCGTTTGCTGTGCACAAATGTTGAATCTTTATCATTGGAAGCACGCGCGTGCTCCGCGGCGGTACACAAAAAAGGCGGTTGCGCTAGTCGCTCTACCCTGACTTCTATCTGCTTCGGTTCGTGGATGTGATTGAGTCTGGTCTGCAGCCATGGCGTCTAAAGTCCTAGTGCCAGCTGCCCCGTTCACGAAGCTCCAAGTAAGTGGATCATTAATTATTTTGCATTGGATGTTCCCTCTCCTCCTCCTCATGTCACCACCTCTGATTTTGCGTCAGAAATAGATATCCTGCCAGATTCCCATCTGTTTGCATTCCTGTCCTCGCAGGTCGTGTCGTTTGCTACCTTTGTATGTGAGTGTCCAATATAAATAATTAAAAGTGCCAAGTCATGGAACACAAAGAACCTTCCGGTCATTGACATTATAGGAAAACCTATTATGTGTATCAGATGGGCTTTTCCCATCGCCTGGCTATGGGAAATCGTTACTGATTATTGGGGTAATTCAAATGCAATTAACTGCTTCCGTACATTGTGCCGAGGTACATTAGTTATTTATCTGAACAAAGGGTTGCGCTGTCACTCGCTATACGTAAGTATCGTCTAGTTTCTTCAATTTATACGTACGTAGTAAGTCCTGTACATTAAACGACAGTAAATAATTTTGTAAGAATTTTATGAATGAAACTTGGTATGTACTAGATATGCGCAGATAGTACCTATCTATCTACATTTACTCTATGTACCAAGGTATTTCAACTATAATGATAAACTTAAAATTAAGGATTTGTTATCATTTTGAATTTTGTGACTATTAATTACTAATTATAATACGTCTAAGTGTGGAAATTCTCCATAATGCCAAAGCGCAGTTGATTAACGATTCTATAAAGATCATTAACAAATTGATGTCTAATGATCTTCAGGTAAAGAAGTCTGCTCCGGAGCCAACAGGCAGCGGGTTCATCATTGGAGGTGACCCGGTGGCCAGGGTCGCACACCTGGAGCACAGCGTCAGGTTTCTGCAGGAACAGCATCGGCAGATGCTGAGTGGTTTACATGCGGAGATCGAAGCCTTGAGAGAGAGGAACAGAGGTAAGATGGACCTTGGTCATGCCTTATGAAGCTCATGGTCAGGTTAGGTTATACCCAACACGCTGATCTGGAAGTCAATAAGGGAGGCCAAAGCAGTGATTCATAATTACTACTTACTTAAATAATTCAATCTCATGATATGAATCATTTGATAATGGTAATACTACGACCAGTTACAACGTAGACTGCAGTCTGTAGATATACAATGTATATTTATCTACAGCTAACTTATTATGACGACCACCCACAAACATGGTGACTATGAGGTCGGGCAGAATAAGCGGCTTATGTCGAGTACAATGGTATCTTTGCACTTTATGATTCAGTGGGTGGCCAGTTAGCCTACTTTCAGTACATTATCACAATATTCGGCATGCAATCGAAATATGCTGTAAATATTCGAAGGTTAAATGTATTTAATTGGCGAATTATTGGAAGGTAATAAACGAAGGGTTGCAAAATGTCTTGTCATTAGACAGAGTGAAGAAATTTTACTACTGGAAATTGTACTATTTGCACATTCTATTTGAGTTCATTTTGTTTCGACACGTGCCTAGGTACTTGGGTCTTTTTAAGTAGGTACGATATAAACACGTTTACCATAGGTACCATATAGTTATATCTACTGTTGACACTCGTTTTAACCGCAGACTCGAACTTGTTCACGGTTATATGAGTCATACGTTTGTAGCCATTGTAGGTACGTTGCACTTGAGATCGAACCTAAACAATGAACTAAACTGGTGTGTGCCTTGGACGGGATGGTCAGTGACACCTCTTATTAGTCATTTGTCTGCTTGGTATTTCTTGAAGGGTTAGGTAGCAATACACAGATTAAATGTAAACTCAACTATCACCAACTTCACCCAAGTAAGGCGTTAAATAAAAGTTTCGTGGTAAAATAAAGTGCCAGCTATTTAGAGTCGTAAAGTAGAGCCGAAAACCACAATAATACTTCGCTCCGCTCGAGAATCAAACGCAGGATTCCTTTTGAATAACAAATGAAGACAACTTTTAATCAGCTTCAAAACTTAACGAGGTTCTTGTAAACTTTAATAACCCATTGTAATGATCTTACCATTTACAGATCTGCAGTTCCAGTTGATATTCAACAAGGAATCCTCACCGAAGGCCAGTTCACCACCAGCTGAGGAAAACACTGAAAACAATGAGGTAACAAGACTAATGAGTTTGTGCTCACATTTCATAGTCTGATGCGCTGAACAATTAGTGTTTCAAAACCAAGTTCAATTACCTAGTAGAGTGCAGTTATGTAAACTGGAAAAAGTTATGTAAGTACCAACTACCAAGCCACCAGTCAAAAACGTGCTGAGATGTCACGAGATGCGAAGTTTTGGCGAGGCCTGTGTCGAGCAGAAGATGGAAACGGGCTCATGAGAAAATTTGCAAACTATTGTTTCTCTTCCTGATGATCTCTGATATAGTCATTCTCATTTGTATCCTTATATTTACACTATATAATGGTTTTTGTATCTTCTTTTACTTGATAACCAGGCTAAGCTGAAGCGCGAGGTGTCACGCCTGGAGCAGGAAGCGTCCACTGCCCGCAGTGAGGCGAAGGCTGCCGAGGCCCGAGCACTACAACTGCAAATGCTCGTAGACGCGCAAACTGAGTACGTGTGCACTTTGTACCTATCTTGTGCTTGAGTGAGGATTCTTTGCAACCTTGAATGACTTTGGTCAATAAACTGTGTCCCGAGTCCTTTAGAAAGTACTGACTAACCTTCTCAATGTGATGATTTAAGTTTGTATGTAAGCTTTACCTATCGACACAGACAGTTTGCATATAGGTACTTAGTTCAGTTACCCGTTAACTGTAATGAAACTGCGTACCGTGTACGGGGACAGAAAGCTGCGGTCTCTGGAGGTGAGCAGCGCGTGTTCGTGCGGCGGCGCGGAGGGCGCGTGTGCGCCGGAGAGTCGCGCGGAGCTGCGCGCGCGGCTGGGCGAGGCGGAGCGCCTGGTGCGCCGCCTGCGCGCCGACGCCGAGCGACAGCGCAGAGAGGTACAGGCGGCCGCCGGCCGGGACCCCGCCGGGGGCGCCGTCACTAACCTCTTGTTTGACGGCGTGGCCGCGCGTCACGCTCACGTACGTGTCGCCGTGTCGCCGTGTCGCACCGCCCGCCACTACCCACGCACCACCACAGACGATATACTCCTCTATGTTAACCTATAATTCTCTCCCTATCCTGATGCAAACAATTGAGAACAAATATAAATACTCAGTTTGCAATTTCTGCCTGCTTATAAAGATCTATCTTCAATAAATTCCAACCATAATCCAAAAGATAGATTTTTTAATAAGACCATCTGTCCTACAGTCCCAAGGAGTATAGGGTGTGGTTGTGTCGTTGAGGCTCGGCGTAGTTGCCAGTTGGCGCGCCGACGTGGACGGGAACGCGTCACGCATACAGTACCCTAGCCAGGGAAGTACGAAGGCAAATTGGAAATGATGTACAAGTACTGCATAGGATATGGGAGAAACTCTGACAATTATATGATACGATCAACTTTCAAAAGTATGTTAGGACGTGATCCAAATTGGATTAACATGAGATGGATGCCAGACAGGAGTCTGCCAAAATTGTGGACTTTCCAGTATTGTTAGAAGGTACTTAGCGACATATTAAATGGGACATGCCTTAGTATTCTCTGGCTGCGGTAGCACACAGTTCTTACTAATCTCTAGTTATGCACAATAACATGTTGCGAGTGATGTTTTAGTTTTATACTAACCCCGCATGTGCTGCTCTTTGTTTGTCCCGTCCTCGTATGCGCTTATGAAGATTTTAGTTATTAATTTGGTTTAAGTAGCTCTGGGAGGAGGTTGCTGGTCAAATTGTAAACTAAATTACAAGAACAGCAGCCTTTGTGCCAGTTTGTGAGGTGACGAACTCTACATGAGGTACGACTCAAGGAACAAGTTTTACAGCAATCAAAGGGTCATCTTTTACCCCTATAATGAGGATCACAATCATCAATAATTTACGAAGCCAAGAAATAACTCCTGATGAGTTCGCTACCCTTTTAGGAAATTATCATTGAAATATTTTAAACAATATCTGCTCAGCAGAGTATTGATTCTTAACTAACGGTTATTTGTTTTGAAATTTATTGTTATTAGAGTTTTAGCACTTAAACATTTTGTAGCAGATATCTTACTAACAAAGTGTTGATCGCTAGAGTAATTATAGACGTTTTAAAGCACAGGTTTGTGTGTAATGCAATACTTTGCACTAATTTCCTTGATTACACTTGCACATGTTGGTGGTGGGTAAGCACCCGAGTGAGATATAGCTGTTGCCCAAGTGTTTATGTATAGCTGGCGATACAATAAACTTAAAGCCGTAAAGTTCTTATAAAAATGACTAGATATATTTGTAATAAGAAATCAGTGTCCAATGTAGGATAGGGATCAAAAATGACCATTTTGTTTATAAAATTCTGTTTCGACCCGTTTGTACCCAGATAAGTTATCCAATGTGTTTGCATTAACAGTTACAGTGTATGAAAAATTCCCTGCACGCGAGTTTGCGCGCCAGTGGTTTGGACGCGTACGGATATCAGAACAACTACCACTTTCCACCAGTACATACGCCTGACTTCTGGCGAGAGCCGCTTAGAGAGTGAGTAATCCTTCTATCGTATGTTACAAACATTTATTTGATATGTCCAGTCCATTTGAAACATTCCCTATGTTTATAAGTCCTGTGACAGAGAATTGGCTAGTTATAAAAGGATGTTGCCAGCGAAGATAAATAATTGCACAAAAATGAAGGAACGTGGAAATAAGTTTCTCATCCAAAGGATAACATTAAGCAAAGGTTTCATTGCTTCTTCTAAAATATACCACAAAAGTGTAGTTTATGTAATACCAAATGACGACTGTATTTCCTAAAATGAACTTTAAGGTGTGTTTAAAATTGTATCTACTTATTTGTGTCCCTGTATGCCTATATGGTCGACCAGTAAATATTTTCCGGTAGCTATAGCCTGGGCATCTTCAAGTCTCGAGCTAATACATTACTCCTAGGCAAGCCGTCATTGTCGCCTCAGCCATCGCTTGACTTCAGGTGACCAAATACTAATTATAGCGCAATGAATAGCACCATTCAACGAATTGCGAACACCGCTTGGTAATTTGAAAACCACCATTGAAATTGCAAATGTCTGGCACATCAAGCTACTCTATTCTGTCGATTTAATTCAACACGTTTTGTCTTTATTGCATAACAACTAACAAGTTGAAAATATGTCGAGTAAAGAATGATGTATCGGAGTAGATTGGTCTAGTGTCTGAACCAAAAACAATGCTTAAAACAATCAAGATTACCATACAACGGTATCTTCTACCTATAGTAAGTATCACCTACCTTGTTATAACACATTGCAGCGACTTCAACATGGTGGGTTCGAGAGGACGAAGCACCCGGCGGCCGCTCACACTGCCTGAACTATCCGGACAACAGATGCACCGCTCTACCATTTATGCAAACAGTAAGTCACTTCACTCTAGTCTACACAATCATTCTAAAACACAAATGTTTCTGAGTACTGCAATAAGTATTCAGCAGAAGCCATTTAAAAAAAAAAATCTATGAATTTTAGATCATACACGTGATCCACGTCCGAGAGCCAATGGATATGACAAGAATAAAAAGCCGCCAGCGACCAATGGAGAGGCCACCACCAGTACCAGTACCCCTAAGACTCCAGAAGAACCCTCAGGTATACCTTTCACATTTGCAGGAACTAATTAACGAGATTATTAAATGAGAATATATTCTCTAAGTCAAAGGATAGGTACGATTTTAGGAGGCCGGGTTGTAAGACCAATACAAGATAGCAAAAATGTTTAGTTAAAAACTTGTATAAAATCACCCGAACTTAATGAATATTAGATATAAAAATGTTTGGGAGTTACAGCGTGTTTACTGTGTATAAGCCATAATTATAGTCGAATATTTCAATCTGGGGGCACGGCAAAGATATTTTTTTTCTATGAGCTTTTTTTTGAGGGGGGATAATCATGCAATGGCTTCTCCCGCCTTGGGTTAGGCGAGAGTTAGTGTCAGACTCTTATCGACTAAAACCCTCCCCGTTCCTCCGTTTTCGTTCCAGAGCCCCGGCAACCCTTAAGGTCTTCCGCGGCTCCGTGTCTTTTCATGTATTAAGGGTGTAATCACAATCATGCACAGCAAGTTGGTTGATATTTAGTCTTACAAGGTCCCTAATTTATTAAATGAGTTTGAATTATGGCGAATAGGTAACAATCTGATATGGTTTATCTTTTTGTCATGAAAGTGTGTGCATTTTTATTTTTCTTTATATTGATATATTCCAGACCGCCGATTTAGATCAATGAACGCGAGCGATTTATCGAAAAACGAACATAGTAACATGAGCTCAAAAGCCATGTATCCAGAGTTGAAAATTGTTGTGACAAAATTAATATCACACAGTCAGGGTGAGGAATGGCACGTTTTGTTTTATTTGGTTATGGCAGCACTTCAAACTACCCAAACCTATCTATTTTTTAAGATTTTCAACCTTACCCCTTCTAACCAAGGTTGATTATCAGTTAACGAATTTTGAGGTTTTAAGGTAGCTTGATGTAATATTGTCTTTACTGGTAAATTATTTATAATTAGTTATAACTAACAATAACAGAAGTAGGTAATGGTTTTGATGGCGTATTTTCGATGGTGTAAATATATGCAGTAGTTTAGTTTGTATTAACGCGAACATGATAGTGATTTATGAGTATGTGTGTAGGCAACTAACAATATTAACTGGCTTGTTGTGCATGCAGGTACTTACTGACTAACACTTTAGACAACGTTAATTTTTATTTCAACTATGCAATGTGGACTGAATGGCGTACAATCGGGTACTTACCTTAATCAAAAATAAATTATTTCGACTGTTCAATACAATAAAAAATATTAAAAAGTAATCACATTTTCATTAATTGATTTTATGGCCACTTAATTTTAGTATTTTTCCAGCAAATTTTCAAGAAATAAGTATGCTGTTTGACGTTAAAAAAACGTGACGTCACAATACACAATCTCGTACAAAATTCATGGAAAACGTGTCGTTTTCGATAGTTCTAAATAAGTATTGAATTTGACTATTTGGCAAGTACCCAATTCTATTGTGACGTCCCTAAAGCGACTGTATAAGATTTATTTAAAAAAAAATTTTAAACATAGTGTATTTGTTTATTGTCAACCAGTGAGCGGCGCGAGCGCAGACGCGAGCCGCGGCCGCGCGCGCAGACACCACCACCGCAAGCACGCGCCCGACACGTAGGGGGGGGCACTCACACGGGGGGGGGGCACACACACACACACTGCAGCCTCGCGGACACCGCCCACATTGTCCAACCGTCGACAGTATTGGATTTCATTTAACACAAACAAAATTGATGTAGTATGGTATAATTTCATCTTCTAATGAGGGCGCTAGCGTGATCATTTGCTATAGGTACAGTGTCAAACCATTGCATGTTAATCAAACTTTGACGGCTATAGCGATTGGATAAACAAGACCTCATTTATTGGCAGAGCCGTATTACAACTAAAACAAACTAGGCTTAGGGCGCCAGAACCTTTAGCCAAACGCCACTTTAGCGCTTGTCTACAGAGAGTGCAGAAAATTTAATGTATGGGGATGACACTGATAAGTGTCAAAACTTAATTTGGTTTTCTATTCTACATATAGACAAGCGCTAAGTGCATTGGCTACAGCTGCAGATTATAGACGGACGCCGCAAGACGCGCGTTGCCCATAGCCATAGAGAGGCGCCGGCGTCATACCTTGGCACTTTCTAGATTTGACACGCCTCTGTTCATTAGTGTCTTCTGTTTAGCAGAAAACGCGGTAGTCCTCATTATGTCTACCAACATTCCCAAAATATTTTATACCCTTAAGTTTTGTGTATCAATGATTGGTTTTCATTTACTTTTACGTACAAGTTGGATGAAATGTAACCAAAATAAGTGTAGTATTTGGACTAAAACGACTCAACGTACTTCTAGGTAATTTATTATATTATTATTATTTAATGTCAAAATTTCAGTCTAATACAATATAATTGTTCTACACCAACTATTGAACATTGTCTAGAGTCTAAATACACATTACAATCGTCCGTGGCTGAATGTTTGACAAAATAGATAGTAAATTTTTAAAATTAATATTTGGATGATGACGTAACAAAGCAATAATAAGTTCAGAAACTTGACTGACGGATTTCATGAACAAATCGATGGTTGGACTGCAAAGTCAAAGAATTCAATTATTATGATATAATCGTAATCGCCTTCTGTAATATTATACTAACTCGTAGTTATCGTATAGCCTGGAACGACCGTGTTTACATTAGACAGCCAACGTAATGTTGCACGATAATACACCTTACCGCACTACATAGAGAGCTCATAATCTCGTGTGGTCAGCAACGTACAAAAAGTAAAGAAGAATATTGGATTATCTGTCTTATGTTCATGGTAATACGCATTAAAGTTGCTTGTACATTGTAAATGAATGAGTCATGGGCAAGTGCAACTCAAAATTGTTTTGTTTGTCATCGCTATAAAGCACAATTTGGTCTGTGCCATCGTAAAAATACAATTGTATGGACTTCTGAATGTATATTCACCGATAAACATGTCACTGTCAATTAATATAGTATCGTGGCGTCACAGTACACGCTCATACGAACATTGCCTCGACCACATCGTGCAACAGTACGAACACGCCCTTAGATTTTGCTCATTCGTGATTTAAAGTGCAATTTTGTATATACATACAGTACCTACATAAACAGTAAAGTTAGAGAAACTTAGTACTTATGAGCAATAATGCTACGTAATAGTTGCTTAGTGTAACGTCTCTTTCTTTTATTATGAAAATAAAAAGGATGCCAGACGGACATTGGCGAGTATGTAGAAGTTTTTCTTTATATTAGAATAACGTACAATGTTTTTGCCTTTGGAAATTCAGTGATATATCCGCAACTACTGCCATTAGCATTTATTTTCCTCCGGACACGGACTACGTACGGCAATCGGTATGTACTTAAATATAAAGACTAAAATATTTTTAGCTGAATCTAGAGTTATTTAGTTAATATAGTCGAAATGATCTGCGATTTTAATCATGTTTAAATTTTAGATAAACAACGTTTTTTATATTATTATAGTTACGCAGTTGTCCGCCCGATTGGCATATAAGTGTGAGTGGTCCGAGCTACATTGTGAGAGTGACGTAGACCTATTAAATGCTATATTTGTAGCCTTATCCATATTAATCTAATTTATTAAATTAATAATACTATTAATGATTATATTTGAATATTATAATTATTGATATAATAATATATTTATTGCAAAACATTGACTATTGTTTTATTTCCTCCTAAACCTAAAAATGTATAATTAAACTCTATGTACATAGCTAATAAAGGCTAATTTTGCACCTTAAATGATTATGATTAGCATTAAAAATTCCACAAATCAGTACAAAATGTTTAATTACAGTCAGCTTAAAAGTAATTTGAACACAGTATGTTCACTACAACACTTGTAAGCGTTACCTAAGAGCCATAACACAGATTCGTTTACTTGATCAGTCTCTAACAATTTCTTTAAAACATGCATCTTATCATTTTCTACAAAATAACTTAGGAATTTATCGAAGGTGTAAACACAGTTCATATTAGCTATTAATCTAAATACATACACAATGTTTGGGTCATCAAGAGGCTTCTCGATACTTACTGACATGAAATGTAACACTTTGAGTATGAATTCATCGAGGAGGAAGTATGATTGGAAGCAGGTCCTGAAGTCGCGGTGGCAGCTGAGTATGAAGAGTAAGTGGGCTGACATCGAGAGCCGTAACCTTGGCAGGATGGAGAGGATCTTTGTCACGTATTCTGATCTGTAAATTAAAAGATTTTTTTTTATTGAGACTTGTATTGTGTACTTCATTATTAGCTTGTCATTGTTAATCAGGTAGATTCAGGTTTGATTCCTGGTTTGGGTTATTGGAAATCTTTGGTTATAGAAAATTCACAGTAAATAGTAACTATAGGCAGTAGGTCCAAATCACATTAATCTCTAGTCTCGAGTAAATCTGTGCTCCAGCATACCACAGGTTAAATAGGAATTTATAACATGAAGTAAAATGTAGGTTTTATTTCAATTTATCAGTTTGTTACTGTTCATTTGTGTTTATGTTGTTGATATCCCTCAACAAAATAAAATGAGCCTACCTACCAAATTCAGTTAAAAAAATAAAATATAACACTTACGGGAGATTATCTTTGAGCTGGTTACACAGGTGTACGAGAGCGTACAGCACGGACTCCCGCAGGTCCTCGTAGTTGCAGACCAGCAGGTGTGTCAGTCTGGCCACGCAGCCCTGTGCCAACAACACCTCACTGGCTTTAGGTCCTGAACCGGCTAGGTTACCTAGTGCCCAGGCACTTGAGATCTGAAAATATTTGAAAAGGATTATTTAAACCCGTTCTTCTAACCTATTTAAAAATAGGATATTTTGTAAGAGCATAGTAATAATAGGTTCTTTGAAAAGAATACAGAAGATGAAAATCTACTATGCCTAGCTGATATTCATTAAAATAAGTTTGGTAAATGGTAAAAATCAAACAGTTAGGTTAGTTAGTTAATAATTAAATAACTGTTGTTCTCTACATGAATTTCTTTATGCTATAGCTTATTAGCTGTCGCCCGTGACATGGTATGCGTAGAATATGATTTCTGTTTAATCCCATGGGAGCATTTAAACTGTCAAACACCAAGCGGTCACCGGTGACCGCAACCTATTGTTCTATAATTGTGTCTACAAAACCGGTACTCGACGAGTTAATCGGGATAAAACATCCTCCTAGTCCATCCTATCACCTAATTTAGCACATACCCTGCCTGTATACCAAATTTCGTCAAAATTTGTTCAGTAGTTTCAGTGTGATTGACATTTGACATAAAACATTTAAACAAAGAAACTTTCCCATTTATAATTTTTTTGTATAAAATATAGACAAGTAGCAGCTGTAGCCAAGTGCCATTTAGCGATAGTCTACTTGTAGAGTAGAAAACTAAACTATATGGGCCTGATGTAAATTTTAACACTTGTCAGTGTCATCCCCATATATTTAGTTTTCTACTCTCTCGGTAGACAAGCGCTAAAGTGGCGTTTAGCTAAAGGATTAAGATTGTTAGCTTCTGCTGTCATATAAACTTTTTAGTGTCATTTGTATTTTCAAATCATATTCAATTCAACAATAAGAAAAAGAGTGTACATAAATGAGTAGTACATAATAATGTTGAAAACATCAAGTACTCACAGCCAAATCAGCATTGAGACTATCAAGAGCTGCAATCAGGTAGGGTCCAGCAGCCTTTGTAACAGTCAGACCGGCCTTGGCATCTCCCAGGCCTAGGTTACAACAGCAGCCTATGGCCTCAAACTGCTTGTTTAGTCCATGACCTAAAAATATAGGTACACAAGTGCTCTGTAAATATTAGATAGTTTGCAAATGACAATTCCATGTTCTAATAAGTATTGTATTTTCATCTGATTCATTTTCATATTCATCAGTGTTAAATTCACATGATAATACCACCACATTAAGCGAAGTTCTACAACTTCAAGTTTTTACTTAATTGGTACACTGTAAAACTTCACCATACTGTGGAGATATGTGGATGGTTTTAACAAGTATTGTATAAATACATACATTTCACTAACATGAATATAATGTATTTTATCATAATAATATCTGATATTGAGCTGTAAATTGTAAAACAATTAAATTAAAATTTCGCAGGCTATCTTAGAGCATTCACCTAAAAAGTACTGCAATTAGGCATTATTAAATAAGCTTGATACAAGAAAAATAAAGAAGATTTCATTTCTGCAGGGAATATCTAATTTAAGTAATAATTATACTAAAAACTATTTTTGGAAATAAAGAGCAATAATGAGCTATAAAAAATAACAATAACAACAAAGAAATCTATTTCTTATAAGAAATACCTCACATGTGTCAATATTTTAACAGATTTATTTTAAGTTGGTAAATGTCTGTCTCTCTCAACATTCGCAGGAGCAATGTAGAGAACATTTGAAAAAGGAATACTTAATAAACATAGTATTTATACACATAATATACATATATACACATAATATTTATGTTCTTTAAAATGAAGACAATAATTTTACTTGATAGTTCCCGTACAATCCCCCGCAGAGCACCATGAGTATGTAGTATTATTTCTATGTTAGCTGCATCATCTATCAGAGAGTTCTTCAAAGCACGTAGCTCTGATGCAGTCACAGCAGACTTGGTTTTCAGTTTATTTGCTATTTGTGTCACTGCATCCGAGTTTGGTCTGTAAGAGGTATAAGGAGTAGCGTTATTCAATAATTTTTAGTAGATTTACGGTTTTCTGCTTTTACACTATCGTTGCTTGGTGTGTGTTAATTTGAGACTGAGTATCCACACTTATTGCTAACTTGAAGCATTTAAATGTGATTTCTAACCCGCCTGGTAATTTTGCATGGGAATTATATCAAATCCAACAAGTAGAGCCTATAGGAGGATCATAGTACAAGTAATTACTGCTATTTAGTCCAGTTAGATTCAATAGATTGAAACAGGCAGATGATATTATTATTCAATTTGTTTTGATATCGTACCAATATGGAAATTAATCAACACAACTGAAATTTTACGAAGATTTAACTTGAGGAAGTAACCACATGAAGAAAAATAGCGGTATCAGTGATAATATTCAAATCTTACCGCAAATTAGGCAAGGGTCGCTTCTCATCGGATACTGCATCACGTTTCTGCCGCCTATTCATCAATAAAAGGTTACGGCTCGATTCCCGAATGCCTTCAATAGCTTCTTCTTCTTCCATTGTAGTTACAGTAAAGGAGTATTCAGAAATAGATCACACAGTAAAACTTAAATAAATAATTAAAATAAATACATGATTTAGATGTAGAACGACCTCGTTTCACTGAACTGGTAACAAAGCTGACTGACGTCTGACCGGTCTGACGTAAGACGTTTGACACATTTGACGGGTTTGACCATAGACAAAGTGACAGACACGATCAATAGATAATAGAGGAACAGAAAACTATTCGACACCAAGGCTTTTAAAACAAAAAAATATGAATAATTTTACTCTAGGTTTTTTAACATTATGGATGTTAGAGAAGTTGAATAGGACTGATGATCGGTTGTTGTTTATTCTGGAATGTGTCACTGATTCCCCTTTTAGGTACGTTTGCCAAAAAGTATAACTGTTTTTTTTTATACCTCGTGTGTTCATAAGTTTTGAGACAAACTTTTTGCTTATAAAAATAAAATAAAAATTACTGGCTGCTGTATATTTCTTTTTCTAATTTTGAATTTGGAATGTTAACTTTTAATATCTATGATTTCGGATTATTTTATTTAAATTTTCTCGTAATGGAGGGAACAAAAGAATTACGTGCGACCGTCATTTCATTATTTAAGGTGGGAAGAAAACCTATGGACATTTTCCGAGAACTGAAAAGTTTTGGTGTGAGCCGTAACTTCGTGTATTACACTATTAAACGATACCAGGAGACAAGTTCTTTACATGATCGGCAAAGAAGTGGTCGTCCACGCTCTGTGAGGACGCCTGCGAACATTAAAATCATCCGAGAGCGACTTCGCCGAAATCCATGTCGCACTCAGAAGAAACTCGCTCTGCAGACCAATATTTCGCGCGTTTCAGTCAACAGAATACTGAAATATGATCTCAAGGTTAAGGCGTATAGCCGTAGAAAAGTACACTTTTTAAACGATCGCCTTCGTCAATTGCGACGCGAACGTTGTCCAATACTGCTTAGGAGACACGATGCGAGGAAGATACTCTTCACCGACGAGAAAATCTTTACCGTCGAAGAAAAGTTCAATCGACAAAACAATAAAGTGTATGCCAAAAGTAGCAAGGATGTCCCACCTTCAGCACGGAATGTCTCGCGTACTCATCATCCGGCTAGTGTCATGGTATGGTGGGGAGTTTCGTACGAAGGTGTCACTCAGCTTCATTTCTGCCAACAAGGCGTCAAGGTGAAAGCCAAAAATTATCAAAGTGACATTCTAGAGACTGTTGTGAAACCCCTGTCTAATACCCTATTCCATAACAAGTATTGGGTTTTCCAGCAAGACTCGGCGCCATCCCATAAGGCTAAAACCACCCAAGCTTGGCTGAAGGAAAATGTGCCGGCCTTAATTACGGCGAACGAATGGCCCTCCTCCAGCCCCGACCTCAACCCGCTGGATTATTCTCTATGGACCGAATTAGAGCTCAGAGCCTGCCGAAAGTTCCACCCAAACTTGGAGTCACTTAAGCGAGCTCTTGTCCGAGAAGCGAAGCGAATTCCTCTGGAAAAGATTCGTGCCGCCATTGATGACTGGCCAAATCGTCTAAGGGCATGTATTAAAAACAGGGGTGGTCATTTTGAATAATAATTATATTTAATTTTTACTTAAATAAATAAAATAAAAAATAAAATATAAAATAAGCCTTTATTACTGAGGTTACAATTTAGTCTATATCACTATACTATACATCAATAGTTTTATCCCCAGCTTGTCCTTCGACATAGGCCTCCTCCAAGGATTTTTACTTACTATCTACTTAATGTTTGTTATTGTTTTTATAAATATAAGTTTATTATTTAAAAAGATATGCAACTTTTAATTTGTTTCAAAACTTATGAACACACGAGGTAGTTTAGTATCCCACAGTAGTAATAGGGTTCAATCCCCCTGCCTCGCTGCCTCGTAGAGCATAAAATAAATCAGGCTTCAGGCGTCGTCTTAAAAGAAGGATTATCTACTAGTCAGAAAATAAAACAATTGGTCATAATACTGGTGTTTAGACAAATCCGGTTCAACTGAGTACTTATGAAGAACAAGCAATGAGTTAAAAAAATGTCAGAAAAATGAGAGACTAATTAGAAAACAAAAAACAAGCCTAACAGCAATTTCACTTGGTTGCTTCATTTTTTTATGGAATACCTAGGAGGCAAACGAGCAGACGGATCACCTGATGGTAAGCGATCAGCGCCGCCCATGGATACATCATAGCTTCATCATCATCAGCCCGTATTCGTCCACGTTATCGATTCTTCGACAAATGTGACCGGCCCACTGCCACTTCAGCTTACTTATCCTTTGGACTATGGCGATAACGTTTCAGATTCGATCCTTCAAAGAGACTTCCAGCATAGTCGCCTCCGTAGCTCGCTGCACGACCTTAAATTAGTGGACCAGTCGCACTGTCAGTGTCCACATCTCGTCTCCGTATGTCATTACTGGCAGGACGCACTCGTTGAAGACTTTTGTCTTCAGGCTTTGCTGTATCCGTGACTAGAAAACTTGATTAAGTTTCCTATACGCTGCCTAGCCAACCTGTATCCTGGTAAGGGCCTGCTTCGCGAAGCTGTTCCTACCAAGCTGCATGGTTTGTCCCAGGTAGATGTATTCCTAAACAACTACGACAGGCGACCCGTTGAGGAAAATTGTCTCCGGATTGGCATGTTTATTGAACATTATTTTTGTTTTGTCCAAGTTCACCCAGAGCTCGATGCGTGCGAAAGAAACAGCTAGGCTCAGCATATATTGCAGCCACGGTGACGGTCTGCAAATCGATCTGCAAATCTCAAGTGTAAGAGATACTTGCCGTTTATGTTTATGCCCCGTCCTTTTCAATGCATGCAATGTGTCTTAAACATATCCTCCATTGATTCCTATAAGACTATAATATACGTAGTTGAGTTACTTGTTCAGAATAGCCAATTAAGCTTAATACAATACTCGTACTTATCTCTTAAGATTTTCTTTACGTCATCAATATCGCCGACTAGATTGATGAATTACACAAGATTTGGTCCAAGTTCGCGAAGTGTCCAGTTGTAATGAGCTGTGAAATGGTTCTAGATCGAGTTTTTGGTAGCTCTACTTTTTTTGGTTGTGCCTGATGAATGTGGGCTTTCAGTTCGCTCACTATTTATCAATTTAGTGGGGAAATTTGTTTACCCGTGGCTAATCACGATTGTTGCAAACTTCCTTTTCGGTGTGAAGGTTCATTATGGGGAACTATTAATAAACTGTACGTAGTAAACTAAGTATGTAGAATGTCTGCAGCAAGCAGAATTTGTATAAATTCAGTTAGCATTTTCAAATAGATCCAACTTTTTTGATCAAACTAATTTATTTACAGCCAGTAGGTATTATTATACCTACCCCCGGTGCTATAACTATTACTAATGTATTGTGGGGGCCCACGCGCAACTGAACAATGAAACATTGTTTCTCCCAGTGCCATCCAGATTAGCGCCAAAACCATAACGACAGCAATGCCCTCACGAGTACAGTTTGCGTACTACACAAATGACAATAACGCACCACGTAAAGAGGTGAATTTGGAGTATTCTTTCATAATCAGTTAAGTTTTGACAAAAATTGCATAAGTGACGATATTGCACCGTAGGTGCGATATAGTCGATGGATGTATGGTTAGAGTTATTGCACGAATTAAATAAATAATAAAACAATTAAGTACCTAGAAGAAAATACTTTAATTGATTACAAAACGTTTTTTTAACTAACCCTATAATCATAATTGTCATATTTTTTACATTATTAGGTAGATTGTGAGAAATGAAACACTTATTGTTATTTTATAATTTCATACAAACTAAAATAATGCACATGAAATTAACCAATTTCTTTCCCCAATATAGTAGAACATACAATTCGTAACTTAACAAAGACTCGTCTGAATTTGTTCTTGGTCAGTAGGAAGGTCCAAACTCATTTAGTTTTAAGTCACAAGTGTGTTATTCATTTATTGCCATGTAAGAGCCTTAGAGGGTCTTTTTTGCGGGCCTGGATCAGAATACTTACACTACTTGAGTAGTTTAAATAAAGTGCAGAACCTTGTCTGGGGTCTCAACTGTGCCTTATGCTGTAGTTTCAGTTTTAGCTTCAAACTGCACTTCCAGGCTTCAAAATGATTGCTTTTGGAAGCATATGTGCCGGCTATTGAATATAATCAGCATCATATCAGCTACAGAGTTCCAAGAGATCAATTGATAGAAAAAATAAATAATAAGAGATCATCACGATTCAGGTTTTCTAACGAATCGAAGTTCTTTGGTCAGCGAGGAGTAAAACCCGGGCAACGGAAAGTCGAAGAGCTGTGTTGTCCTGATGAACTCATTTGTGGAGTCAGATAGAAGTGTCTGCAAGTCGACTTGGTCTCCGAGACTGCTGATCTTCTCGTGAATGTACTCTAGAAGGCAGCAGACCCTGTAGAAAATGTTTCTGTATTAGAAATTAGTAGCGGTTAAGGTTCTAGATAGAATTATGAATAGTTAATGATAATCTAACGGGGAATGTTGAATGTGGCATCATTCGTTTATGTTATAAATCATGTATTTTGATTGTGATTATCATTCTTAACACTTGATGGAGAATGTTGTAAAATTCAAACTGATTTAGCTTTTAATCACGATGGTTTAAAGGATATAGTCAAATACTGGATTAAAGAATTAGTCTTCCTGTCTTGCATTAAATAAAATTAGCGGATTGTATTCTGACTTACTTAGACCTTCTACCGCGAATGTCTGGAGCTGATACAATGGGTACACAAAGTCGAAACTCCAGGTTGTCTTGCGGTAGGGTCGACCAGACTCGGGCACGAGGGATTACATAGTAGCCTTCAGTCTGAAAGATTAAAATTATTAATCATAATTTGGTCTCATGACTCCTCGTTGCTTGGAAGAATAGGATATATTTTAGCATGCTCAGTTTAGCCCGTTACTTCAAGACATCCTCATGTTCGCAACCGAGAAATAGGAAAAAAAATTAGTTATCAACATTGCTGGATAAGGTTAGAAATATGGAGCCGACACATTTTTAAATACAGTTGATAAACTTATCGACATGCCCACTATAACTAAAGTAAATGACGTGTGTAACTGACCTGCACAATATAAATCTTCGGCTTGTCCTGCAGCGTGGGAGGCATCAAATCAGACATATACCTCATCACTCCGAACTCGGATTTCGGTGTGTGACAGGTCTCCACTATACCGTCTCTTGTCTTTGGTAACATCATGACTGCTACACAGCCGTATTCTGTGAAGTCTCGCTGAAAAACTGGAATAGAGGAAGGGCATATCAAAATTTGTTCAGTGACCTTATGGCAACTTATGAACATTAAATTTGTTTTTACTTGGACCTTGGCTAGTGATATTATCGGATAGATGTGCACTTATGGACCTACTAGTACTTACATGTTGTAGGTTCAATGAATCCCTTTTCACCCCTTTTCACCAGGTCAGCCTAAACCGGGCACAATCGCAGACAGTGCTAATACTGAGAAAATCTTCGAAAATCCGAAACAACACTGTCCGATTCGGAAATCGAACACGACAACTCTTGCCCAAAGTCGCACTATTGACCAATTGACCAAAGAGATATTTATCAGAAAGTGCCAACTATAGTAATTTAGGAATCTCAATTAATTAACTTACATCTTTCACAAGTACTCGCAATTTCATCATCATTCAAATCCCTATAAATAGTCACTTCGAAATGGAATTTCTCAAAGGTCTGCTTGAATTTTCCACTGACGTCATCACCTTGGTCTCCATCTTCATCATCAAATGAAAAGCCAGCATCGGATGAATTGCCTTCAAATATCAACATAGCATGCTTGTTATACCTGCAAGAAGCAAATCGATCTGTTAACATAACCGGCAGTGTATGTTGTACTGATGTATCGATTTACTGATGTCGTTTTCAACAGAAATTCGACTTTTATGTATAAAGATAAGGTTGAAAATGTAAATGAATGTTTAGGATGGCCTGATGTGGTGGCGTCTATAATATTATATAAATGTTAATCCAATTGATAAGATATTCAAAACCTAAGAACGAGTGCATGTAGCTGCAATATTTTGATAGATATTTTGCGTCTTATTTTTCTTATTTTCAGAGTAGGTCACAGTTGTGAAATATTGAATATAATATTTACTTTTTACCAATTATTTAAGAATTTTTCTTGTTATAGGAACTGAGCCTAACACCATACCAATTCATTAAAAACCTTGGCTTGGCTTTTTGGTTTTTCATGCATATAGGCCATAGCCTGAGCCATAGCCAGAGGGACTGTCAGACTCCTACTGAAAATCCCCCCCTTTAGAACTTGCGCTTTCTGCTCAAGCCGCGGTAGATGACTAGCTTTACCCGTAATAGTCTAAGATCCGGCTGCAGAATCAGTGTACCCATCGAGTGTTTGCTGAAAACCAAATTTTTACACATATTCATGATTAGGAGAATTTATATCCACCAGGTTGCCTTTCAAAATGTGGCCGCTAGTATTTTTAATTAAATTATTAATAATTCATAATCCGTAAGAAATTTCATTGACTTTTTTTTTCAATGAAATGTCGTCTACTTTACGGCAACATCTATAAAGACTCTGAAAAATTATGGTTGCCGTTGCGCACCTGGCCGCACCTCTTCGCAGCCAGGTATACACAGGTATGAATTTGTTACATTTATACACCCACAACGTACATTTATAATTTATATATCAAATTAAAGCAAATTTTTTTCTGTATATTATTATATACGGTTGCTTAATTAAATCTGGCCGCTAATAAGGGTTGCTGGCTAATACTTAAATATAGTAAATATTAAAAGTAGAGTGAAAGAGAGCTAGCGCGTAACACCACTAGTCACTAGGTACGACTCATTGCCAGCTGTCGGACGGTTTAAAGCCATTGCGCATGCGTCAGATTTAACATTTTACGTGCCTTATGTATGGACTCCCAAAGTGCCAAAGTGTAAATGCCGCAAGATTTTTATTATTCAACAAAATGTACGCTTCAAAAGGAAGTAGTGAGAAATTTATAAGACGAATTAAAGGTTTTGACTCAACGCACATTCCACCATGCTGGAAATCTTTAAAGGAAAAATTATTAGGGTACACTGGTTCTGCAGCCGGATCTCGTACTATAACCCCGACAGGATAGCCTAAGTATATGCCTAAAGCAATTTCTCTTAAAGGTGCTCCCACACAGCAATTATATAACGTTGAAGACTTATTTAACATTAGTTTTTAAAACAAATCAAAAGAAAAGTTGTTGTAGTAGTAACTTGACATGTTGTAGAGAATATTACAAAAGGTTATCGTCTGATATTACTTTATTAATAAGTTCAATTAAATAAATATATGCAACTTAAAATATAAATAAGTAACCAAAAACTAAAATATCACACCTTAAAAAAGTAATAATAACAAAAATGCTATCTTAACTCGTCGAGTACCGTCATTATAGACACAATTATAGAACAATAGGTTGCGGTCACCGGTGACCGCTTGGTGTTTGACAGTTTAACTCGTCGAGTACCGGTTTTGTAGACACAATTATAGAACAATAGGTTGCGGTCACCGGTGACCGCTTGGTGTTTGACAGTTTAACTCGTCGAGTACCGGTTTTGTAGACACAATTATAGAACAATAGGTTGCGGTCACCGGTGACCGCTTGGTGTTTGACAGTTTAAGGCATCGATAAAAAAAATTCTCATCGCTAAGGTGCCCAAAAGACTGGCAGCATTGCCACGTTAAATGACAAAGCTTAACCTTTGTCCAAAGTAGTAGCCAGCCCTTCGACCACCTGAAGTGTCAATCATCCTCCTTACAATATATTTGTAAAGAATATGTGCACTTGGGCCCCATGGCCCATGGCCCTAAAGTTTCAACCCAGTTTAATCGTATTACACAATGTGGCATAACGTTATTTATAATGGCTATGTGGGAACATCTTTAGGTACCTACATATTCTTATATTCAGAAAAATAAATTTGATAATAATTAATCATACTTTTTCCTTGAAGTCATCCATAATCATACAGTTCAGGTCATCAATAAACAAATCGTACTCTGTACTAGACCTGTCATCATCAATTATTATGATTATCATTAATCCCTTGATACATATAGATAACATTTCTATCAAGTCTAATGTCTATCTACTTATGTCCTGTTTTGAAATTAAAATGTTTCAACAAAATTTTGTCAATGACTAAGAATCTGCACGTGGTTTGATAATTATATGTATGTACAGACACAACCACATAATACGCACATTATTATGCTATAGGTACTTATTTTCAACTCTAAAGTCTCGTAACAAAGTCGAAAATCTACAATTCTGAAGAAATTACGGCACTAGAGCGTATAGCTACTTTATATTGTTAAGCAATTAGATAGAATTTGCCGATTGGGCCGGAAAGGTACCACCCTCTCATAGAATATCAATGTAAAGTGATGACATAGTAATGTTGTACTGTTTCGTCTGGTAAGTGGATGGTCAGCCCACTGATTGATTGCGCTGCTATTTTCAAGGAGGTCACGATATAATTATTAGAATATGTACTTCTACAACGCGAATGTGACAATGGTTCCACAAGTGCAGAAGTCTACAGTCGTGTTACATGACAACACATACAAGCTTTCCTTAGAAACTTGTACAAGCGACTGCACGGGTACTATCCTTACCTCTATCCGAGAAAATTTTTATTAGGTAGTCTTGGTTACAACTCCCTAGAGGTGAGGAGGGTAAGAAACTAACTTGCAGTAGCCTGTAAAACGTTCCAGATCTACTGGAGTCATTAACGCGCTTTTACGTCCCAGATAACTATTGCCGGGGTAAAAAGCACAGGCTGTTTGCCGTGCCCTCATGTTCTACCGTCCCACGCACTAAATCACCTATTCCTCGTACTCTGGCCGCGCTCAATGATCGCCTGGATTCCAATCCAACTAGTGATCTGTTTGCGGACGAATGGCAGGAGATTTTATCAGAATGCTGTTAACCTTCAATACCAACATACCCTCAGAAAAATAAAGTAAATAAAGTAATTAATGATAGTTATAAATTAAACTACAAAACTTATATTTTTGGTGATGAATTGGCATCAGGATTTGGTAAAATGTTACATGGTCACCTTAACCATAATTATATTAACAACAGTTACCATAGTCTGAGTTTTAATAAAATAATTGAAAAAATAACTCAGACAGAATTAAATGTAAAGTCTATGATAGTTTTAACAATAGGTAATAGTTTAGGTATTAAAAGGAAGGGATATAGTGAACGGTGTGGACACCTTATTAAAACTCAACGTGGGAAAAGTAATGCTTTGTGCATTCCCGTATTCTAATTCTTTGTCACACTCTAAAAATAAACACATTGGTGTACTGAATAGTACATTACACCAACTGACATGTTGTCATAGTGACAAACTTTTATTTTTTGATACTAATAAGTTTATTAGTGATTTTAAATTGACAGAAAAGGGTATGTACCTTTCAATAAGACAAAGACAAACTATTGCTATACTGATAGCATTTAATATTAACATTGTTATAAATAATATAACAATTACTAGTTGTAGGGACGAATCTGTGCTGTCTAGGCAACCTAACAGTACTATGATAAATTTTAACTGTAACAACATAACTTTAACTAATAATACTAGTTTAAACTAGATTGTAAGACAACAGAACATACCATCATAGATAATGTTAATAGTAAGGTATATTCTGGCAGTATATTTAAGACTCAATATAAAAATATATCACATAAGTATAAACAAAACAACTTGTTAACACTATTAAGTCAAAATATCTGCTGCTCATCAAAATTACTTGAAATAGAATTGGTTTTAGAAAAATTTAAGTATGATATTATTTGTATAACTGAACATTGGCTGAAGGACTATCAAGTAGAATCTATTCATTTTGAAAACTATTGTGTTGGCGGCTGTTATAATCGTCAAACAATGATACATGGTGGTAGCCTGATCTTAGTAAAAAAATCAGTAAACTATAAGGTAAGACAAGATATTGCATTACTATCAATAGAACACACAATTGAGTTGTCCTGTGTTGAGCTGGATAGGTATATTGTAGTATGTGTTTATAGGCCTCCTAACTTGCAGAATCTGAATTCTTTTAGTTCAGTAATGGAAGATGTATTGCAAAAAACGTGCTCCAATAGTAAATATACCATAGTATGTGGCGATTTTAATATTGATCTATTGGAAAGAAATTCTAATTGTACTAACTTGTTAAGCCTCTTTAGATCTTTTGATTTGTCTAATGTTTTCCTGGAACCCACCCGAGTAACTTCCACCTCGGCAACATGTATAGATAATGTTTTTTGTAACTGTGATTATTTACATAAAGACATTGTAAATATATTACCATCTGATCACAGTGGGCTAATAGTAAATTTTGACACTATCCCAACTATACAAAAAAGGGAAATTATGTTCAGACAAATCACGGTTAAAAAAATTGAGTCATTTAATAACAACTTAAGTAATGAATTATGCGGCCAAATATGTGATAGTGAATACCCAAGTGAGATTTATGCCAACTTATTGTCCATTATTAAAACACAGTTTGATAAAATGTTCGCTTTAAAAAGTAAAAACATTAAATGTAAATTTGTATTCTGTGACTGGGCTACACCAGGTATTCGTAAAAGTAGGGGAAAGTTGTTTGAGCTTTATGGTATGAAACCATTTAATAATAGTGAGACTTTTCACAGCTATGTCTCCAGATACTCAAAAATATTCAAATTAGTTTGTAAACATGCAAAAGCCCTTCATATTAGCAGCAAAATTAGGACCGCGGAAAACAAAATAAAGACTACTTGGAATATAATTAATAACGAGACAGGTAGAAATAAATCACGTAATGCTGAATTTAATTTAAATACCGAAAATGGACGCATTAGTACAAATTCGAAAGTTGCCCAGGAATTTGAAAATTTCTTTAAAAATATACCGCTTAAAACTACAGAAGCGTTGAAATCATCTCCAACTCTTTCAGTGGAGCTTCTTAAAAGTAATGTTAAAGAATGCCCTTCTGTTTTTCGGTTTCAGTACACAAACCCCCAAGCAGTCATTAAAGCGTTTAAAGATATCAAAGTTAAGTCGACTGAAGATCTCTGGGGAATGTCGGTTAGGGTGTGTAGGGCTTTTATAGAGACTATAGCGCCTCATTTAGCTTTCATTTTTAATAAAAGCATAGATCAAGGGGTTTTTCCGGATTTGATGAAGCACAGTAAAGTAGTTCCATTGTTTAAATCCGGTGATAGCGCGGAACCTAATAACTATAGGCCGGTTTCTATTTTGCCAGTGCTTAGTAAAGTGTTTGAGAGACTGATGCTTGTTCAGATGCTGCGCCACTTTAACACGAATTCTATCTTTCATGATCAACAATACGGGTTCACCAGGGGACGCTGCACTACTGACGCAGGAGTAGCTTTGATAAAACGTGTTGTTGCCTCATGGGAAGAAGCACAGGATGCAATTGGAATATTCTGTGATCTTTCGAAGGCATTTGACTGTGTTGAGCACGAAACGCTTTTGCTGAAGCTGGAACACTACGGCATTAGAGGGGTATCGCTAAATCTATTAAAGTCATACCTTCGGGATAGGCAACTTAAGGTGCAAGTAAATAAGGTAAACTCACAGGGTGCTAGCATATCTATGGGTGTACCGCAGGGCTCAATACTAGGCCCTTTCCTATTTTTGGCTTATATAAATGACTTGCCGCATTTATTCCGGAATGAACCACAGATGGTATTATTTGCTGATGACACATCACTGGTTTTTAAAATAAATAGACGTACAAATAATTACGACGATGTAAATAGTGCTCTGATGAAGGTTCAAAACTGGTTTACAATAAATAATTTAGTGCTGAATGATAAAAAGACAAAATGCATTAGATTTGTTTTGCCAAACGTTAAAAATAACGAATGTGACATATTACTGAATAGTGAGAAATTGGAATTTGTAAAAGAGACTATTTTCCTGGGAATTACTGTAGACGACAAATTACAATGGGGTCCTCATATTACATCTCTAGCGGGACGATTAAGCTCTGCAGCTTATGCTGTCTGGAAAATCCGTCAGTTAACCGATATAGACACGGCAAGACTGGTGTACTTTAGTTACTTCCATAGCATCATGTCGTATGGCATTCTGCTGTGGGGACACGCTGCTGACATTGAGTCTATCTTTGTCTTGCAGAAGCGCGCCGTCAGAGCTATATACAACCTAGGTCGTCGCGAATCTCTCAGAGAAAGGTTTAGGGAGATCAATATTATGACCGTTCCATGTCAATTTATTTATGAAAATATTATGTATGTTAGGAAAAACCTACATTTATTTAGTAAAGTGTCTGACAGACACAATTATGAAACTAGACATAAGAATAGATTAAGTCCGCCGTTTTTTAGATTGTCAAAAGTACATAAGTCGTTCATGGGAATCGGTGTTAAATGTTATAACAAAATCCCCCAAGAAATACTGCATCTAAATGAAAGAAAATTTAAACTATGTATTAAAAAAACGTTATGTACACAAGCATACTACAAACTAAATGATTATATAGAGGATAAAAGTGCTTGGAGGCAGGCTGGTCCGGCTCCGCAGGATAATACATGAAACACAGTGATGTTCAATGAATTCTATTTGTGTAATAATATAATCATGTTGCTTAAATATTTGTATAGTTTAAAACGTTGCACAATTTATTGTAAATGTGAGAGCCCTGTAATTAACTAAATCAAATTAGACTAGTAGATTGCATTTATGTCAGCTTGGAGTTGTCATGCTCACTCAAAGATCTCGTTGGCGGTGGCACGTGCATTGGATCGCTCGATTCCCTACAAAATGGTTGAGTTGGGCGGTGCTAGGTTTCGCCAAATGTTCGTGAACGGGCACCGTCGATTGGAACTGGTCAGCTCCAGACTGTATCATTTTATTTTATTATCCTCAAGGTTATTTTCTTTTTCAGTCTTTCTGACTGGATTTGGGTGTTGCATTGTTCTCACATAATCGAACCAATAAAACTATGTAACTAGAGAATTGTATTGTAAACCTGATTGAAAAAGAGTAACCTATGGAGTTTCTTGCTCGTTCTTCTCCATAGGAATCTACGCCTTGGAATGAGCAACTAGCTTCACTTATAAATTTTTGTTGTTTGACGTTCAAAAGTGCCATACTGGTCTAATTGAAATAAATGATTTTGACTTTGACTTTGACTTTGACTTTTGTGTTAATTAAGTTTACTTTTCTTTTTCTTTTGTTTATGTTTTATTGTTGTAAATAATTATGTCAGTTAATATAGTTGGATTTTATGGCGTTGTGACTGTTTAAAATTAAATAAATACAGTCGTGTTACACAACTGCAGCTAGCAACACGATTTGTACAGAAGTGTACAAATCGTCAACACGACGGGTAGACTTCTGTACAAACTAAAAACTTACGAATGTAATGTACTTAACAGCACATTGTTATGTAATAGAGCTACTATTATTAACAGCTGTTTACACTGTGATGATGAAATAATACTAACGCTTACATAGTCGACATTATCAGCTAATTAATTACTCGTAGTTGGAACAATGAATTTAAGAGAAATAAAACGTGTTGAAGTACTAAAACGGAACTTGAATTACAGAGGGGATTTTAAGTTCCAGCATTTATAGAAACAGTCAATTATATAATTCTAACAGACTTAGATGTTCAAAGATTAATATATATGCATAGTCAATTAAAAGTAGGTTTCTATAATATAAGACGTTTTAATGCTTTATTAACACAAGAATAGCGTATTCCTTTTTAAAAGGCCGGCAACGCACCTGTGACTCCTCTGGTCTTGAACGCGGCGCTGATCACTTGTTACCATCAGGTGATCCGCCTGCTAGTGTGCCTCCCATTCCATAAAAAAAAACAATAGCTTTCCCTTACACCCGTGCCGAAGGTGGTCAGAAGGAATAAGAAACATTGTCACTCTCCAGCCTCCTAACTTTAGAGTAACCCTAGAATTAGAATAATCTACAACTAACCTGTCCAACTCATAAGAGTATCTTGCTCTCGTAGATATACGAACCGGATTCGTGTCCTCTTCTAGATTCTCACTTACAGACGGCTCCACACTCCTGTCCTCAGATCTTTCAGACACATTATTGGTACTTTCTCCTACTTTTTGGTATTCTGCTTTATTATATGGCAACGCAGCAGTTACAAAACTATCTTCTACAGTAAATTTGACTTCGATTTCTTGCATCTTAGGCCCCATTGTTGCTATCGACGGTCGCTGGTTGACTGAGTCACAGAAATTTTTAATATAACTAAATATCTAATCGTTATCAATGTGCGTCACTGTTATCAGAAGCTATACGCCAATCAGTGATGCTTCTAACTTGTTGTTCAGCTACAGGTGATTATCGTTCGCATAATGATAGTGATAATATGTAAATACGGAGCGTGTCGTACGAATTCCAGAGAAAGATATGTAGATACATACGACTATTCGGGTATCGAAGTTTTATTTATTTACATAGCAGTCGAGTCATCGTATTGTGAAGTTGTTATCTTCAAAAATGCTGCACTACATACCTAGTTAGTTGCTGTTATAAATATTTTGTAGTAAAGGTATTTGGAACATATCTTGGAACAGTAGATTGTATAAAATTTGGGTAAAGGTACTGTTAGGAATGGGTAAAAGTACACATGCTGTAAATAAAATAGTATGCTAAAAGGCGTCCTATTGATCATGCTCAAAATGTTCAAAAATCGAACGCCTGTTGATTCGCCAACATGGCTGAGTTCAGCATGCTAATTTTGCTATTAACGCTGAAATACTAAATCGCCATTTAATTTGAAATAGTTCTGCCACTACGGATTCTTTATAAATGACAGAGATGGCACGTTATTAAAGTACAACATAAAGTACCTACTACCTACCTTTATGTTTGTGTGAATTGTGGATTAATAAAAAGACAATTTAACATCAAACTGTTTATTTCCGTAAATACGTTCTTAATATTTACGAACTTATTCTCTTACAACTTTAGAATAATATGCACAGGCAGAGCAAGACAGTAGCGACAATATCATTACACATTTATATTAAAAAACATTTAAGCTGATTGCACAACTAGATAGTATTTTGAAACATTTATGATATGTATTTTATAAGTCATATTGCTGAGACGCAACCCTGCACTTCCACTTTGTAACACAATTTTAATAACATAACAAAATATACAATAATATTCAACATTATTTAAACAATTTTATCACATAAGTAAGTAGAAATGCAGGGTTTTAGGAGTGATATAATTTCATTTGAAAATTCGATACATTAATAAGTATTTACACTACATAGTTTTGTTCCTACTGTCCTGGCTCAAAGCTCTGCTCTGCACATACTAGTACATTACCCTTATTTAACTTACGATATATATTTTATATATAAAACGATAACCTTAACATTACAATACATAAACGATTATATACAATAAACATCACTATTTGTCTTTTCATTTATATTTACACTTATTATGTACATGACTAGATTACGAGATTCATAATTAAATAACAATTTTTAAAAATGTAATGGCTATTATCAATGTACTATTATTATGTACATAAATACCCAAGTTTGAAGCGTATAGTTTTTATTTATTTACATTTCAAAGCGTTTCTACTTAGATTATAATATTTATTACACTATAACAGGTTTCCTTTCCTTATATTTGCATGAGCAACTCTTCTTTTTGAAGTTAACGTTGTTTTTCTGCGAGTATTCGAGGAGGGAGCGAGAGGAATGTCTTTGCTATAAGGTATCTGCTTTCTCATTGGTTACTGAGGTGGTGCTAGACTTGTGATTGGTTGGCTTAACATTATTACATTGTTTGTTCTCCTCTTTGCTCGCATCTTCTTGTTTCTTCTCTTCGTTCTTTGGCTGGACTGTCTGTCCGTTGAGGTGTTTGAAGTCTGCTGGGTCAGTTTGCGTCTCTTTGTCCGCTGTTGGCGGTTCTGCAATAGAAATTAGATTATGAGGACTATGCTTTTTTGCGGATAAAGAATTGAGTCGCTCTTATTTTACGCATAAGACTGTAACCACAATTAAAGGAGTAATTTTTCTATTTTTTAAAAACGTTGCACTAGGTTTTTCTCTTGTGTCGTGGGTGAGTAACATACAAGTTCACATACACATAACACCCAAACGCGGAACAACAATCTGTGGATCGCACAAAAAGTAGTACCGTGCGGGAATTGAACCCGCGACACATTGCACGGTAACCAGTTGCCCAGCCACCGCGCCGACCGTGCAGTCAAAACTATCTTGCATTAAATTTAAAAAAATGGTAATTTTAAAGAAATTCAATCCACTTTTCCGAAAATTCATCATTAAAAATGCTCATCAATTTCGAAACACTCATTTAAATACGTTTCAAATTAAATTAAGCTTAAATGTCTTTTATTTAACGTTCTATTTACTTTTGACTGGTGGATGCGGCAACGGGAGTGCCGGAGGCGGCTTTCTGCTGTACCGGACCGGCATTATACTCTGCCGGACATTGCGCTCCGGTCGAATGAGGATTATATAGAGCTGTAACAATATTAAACAGTATTTAATTATAACATAACATCATGCCTTTTATCCCCGAAGGGGTAGGCAGAGGTGCACTGTACAATGTAACACCTTTCACTATATGTGTTATAAGTCCCATGTAATAGCCGGTGAACCAGTTGCCATATACCGGGCACAATTTCAGACACTGTGCTGCTACTGAGATTTTTTTTAAAAAACCAGTACTACATGGTTTTTTAAAAAAATCTCATAACCCGACCCGGGAATCGAACCCTTGCCGACCACTCGGCCAACGAGGCAGTGTTAAATTATGTACATTTTAAACGCAGATTACAATATATTAATTGTCATCACCCCTATTTTACTGTGCGTCTTAAGAGCCGACTAAGGGACTGTAGATTACTTAACAGAGGCCGGGCAGTAACGGTCTTTGATAAATCCGAGGGTGCTTTACATTGAAAATCGAAAAGAGACCACTTTCGACGCTGTGATTGGTTGGTTCACTGGAGCTGGTCAATCAGGGCACGGAATTCGGTCTCGTATCGATTACTTTAAAGTTAAGACATGCTCGGACTAAGCCTTCTGATGTATGTGAATATTCTATACAAACTATTCTTCTTAAACCTTCTTATATTAAGAAGGTTTAATAATATAATAGAGCAAGTAGGTACATTGTCACAGGTTGTGGATGTAACATTTGAAGGTACTTTACTATATTCATAAGAAAGGGTAGAAGGTATATGTACCTCTATTGTTATTGAAATACCTACCTATTCATAATTCTTAGTCTAGCATTGTCTTGTATTATTTTGATAAAATAGTTTAGTTTATTTCGTAAAAACAAAAAGCATTTAAAAACCTTTAAAAATATTTTTTGTAATAAATTCTAGTTTCGACTAACGAAATATTTTGTTTTATCCCTCCTAAAATATTCATAAAAATGGAGTATTTTATTAAGTAACAAGCACAAAATATTCTATTCACATTTTTCGAATGAATAACAGACATTAATTGAACACCACTTTATTATTTATTCATATAGAAAATGTATAATATTGTTTGCCTCGAGCGCGTTGAAGCGAGCACAAAAAAAAGTATGCCTCACATTTTAATGATTGGTATAGTTTAATAAAAATATCCACCACATTGCTTTTTACGTAGGAAAACTAACACTTTCTAAAACAATTTAGGGATTTATAGTAATACTGGACTGCCTCGTTGGCCGAGTGGTCGCAAGTGCGACTGCCGGGCAAGGGGTTGCGGGTTTGATTCCCGGGTCGGGCAAAGTATAACTGGGTTTTTAAAAAATTCTCAGTAGTAGCACGGAGTCTGGAATTGTACCCGGTATATGGCAATAGGCTCACCTCCTATTACATTGGACTCATAACAAAAATAGTGAAAAGTGGGCGTTACATTGTACAGTGGCATAATGTACACCTCTGCCTACCTCTTCGGGTATAAAAGGCGTGATGTTATGTTGGTAATACTCTAGAAAGAGCAGAAAATAATGAAAGAAAAACCTAAATAAAATTGGTAAGTTTAAATGTAAATAATTTTCCCTTCTATTGTAAATGAGAGAAGTCCTAATTTCACTTTATATAGGGCCTACTTCTTCAAAAGGTCGTTCAATCGACATAAACTTGCCTGGACAATAAAAGAAAGATCTTGGACTTAATTTTATTTTGTTGTTCCTTCCGAAACTAAGTAAGATAATGTTGACTCTAAGAAAACAATACTAAAAACAAAATGATTCTAGAAATAAATGTAGGCAACTGTGTTATATTTTATTTATTCATGGATTTTTGCATTCAATTGAATCTTGTCGTAACAAAGATATACAATAAATTATAGTTATCATTAAATATGAATACTTCTTTAAAGTAGTTCTACAAGATTTACTTTTATTATCATTTGGAATGGCAATATCGAGAAAAAAAATCACAGAAAATTGGCTATTGCCCCAACAAGTCGTAACTCTGAGACGGGTCATTACAGCAGATGTTAAAAATATAAATTGGCGGGAAATAAAATATTGGTGGAGTATGTTATCTGTGCTCGCGTCAGATTGTCTGTGGTGACCCGTGACATGCTCTGTGGTTAGTGACCCGCTACTGATGGTCGTCCAATGTCCCGTGAAGAGGCTTCTAACTTATTGACTTTGTATGCTATATTTTTTGTTGCTATTAAATCTTTGGCGCGTTCTTTCCTAACATGTAGTGCCTTATGTGCAGAGGTTTATTATAGGAAATTTGGGATAAACTAGAATGCTTAGGAATTAGTTGTTTTAGAGGGTAAGCGAGCAGATCCGAATACCAGATAGGATCAAAAGCAATCGGGCTGAGGGATATGGTCAATATAAGTATTACTCAGTAAGTATATTCAATGTGTTAATAGTACGTACCTTAGGACTAAACAAGCAGACGAGCGTGACACTGGCGCTGAGTGAGATGGTGACCGCCATGCTGGTGACCCGCAGCGGGACATGGCTCGCCGTGCCGAAGTATAGAGGCACAAACGCCAACCAGATCACACACGTCGTGTACATTGTGAACCCTGAAACGAAAGCAAATAGCTATTATAAATAATAAATAAATAACATCACGCCTTTTTATCCCCGAAGGAGTAGGCAGAGCTGCCATATACTCACTTTTCAGTATTTATGTTATGAGTCCCATGTAATAGGGGGTGAGCCTATTGCCATAAACCGGGCA